GTTTTGTTTTGACACAAGAAACCACAAGAGAAATAACTGTCAGCAGTTCACAGATGCCTGTTTGAAGTTCAGTATTTCCGCACTGGTTTTCAGCACATTCTCTTAGAAGTGACTAATAGCTTTGTAGACAGAGCATATTAATAAATCTTGTAGCGAGCCATCGCCTATGTATACAGCTCATATGCATCGGGTTATGTTGTAGTAGCATGGGCATACTAGATCTTGACCTCAAAATAGTCTGCATAAAAATGAATGAGAAAATAGGTGAGGGTCAGGGTTGTTCTCTGTGCTCTGAAGCACTGGGAAAAGCCTGTAGGTTCTACATTCTTATGCTCTGTAGGGAGTAGAAGTCAGGTTTTTGCATGTGTCATGTTGGATGTTATGTGCATATTGCAGTGGTTTAACAGAGTCTTAGCAGAGCCAGTAGCAATCTGATTTTATTGATGTAAGCTTCTTAATACGGTAATGTTTGTATCTGTTCCAAAAGGAAAATTGTCCCTACAAAACAGCCAGTCAATGATATTCAAGTAGCTATATTAACTAACTTAAGTCATCCAAATATTTGCAGAACAACTTTAAAAGTCCTCAGATAATTGTTCTAACGTTTTTTAGCTGGGGGAAGACAGACCCTTGTGTCACCCGCATTTTCTTTAGATGAAAATAAAGCTCTGTTTTGCTCAGATACAGCACTGAGTGGCGTAACCTTGTAGGCAAGACTTGGGTTTGGCAGATCTGGGCATGGAGGATCTCTGCACCTGACTTCTCCCTCTCGGTACCCAAGCAGGTGAAGATGCTGCTGTCTGCACACCAGCGACACAGCCTGCAGAGACACCTCTAGGCAGCGTGCTGGGAGGTGGCTGGGGCTGGTCCTTCACAGCAGATGAAAAAGAGGATATAACCTTGGCCCACTTCTGGGAGAGATGCCTGTCCAGCTCAGCAACTGCCTCTGGGAGCTGGTGGGGCCTGGGAGGAGGTCTCGGCAATGCTGTCTGGACAGAGCCACGCAGCTAAGGAGCAGTGTTAGATTACAAACCGTTACTGAGGCAGGCTTTTCTAGAGCCAAGCTTAGTAGCTCCTACTAGGAAGAGCAACTTCTCCACTGAAAGACTCAGAGCTCCTCAGCAAGCAGCTCCTTGCAGTGCTTTTTTTCATCAAAAGGCAGTTTTGTTGGTTTTGGTTGATTGGGTTTTTTCTCTGCACAAGAGAATGATCTTGCTGTGACATTCAGTGCTTTGTTGGTTTTTTCCAGAAGAGCCCACTTACTACACTAGCTGAATCACTTGCTGTAACAGTGAATGCTTATTTCAAAAAACATGTTGACAGATGAACATGCTGTTTCTTTTTGGAGAGAACCAACAGAAGGCCGTTTGCTATTTAGGCTGTTTTCTGGCATATTTTATATCAAACCCAAGTGTGTGTATAAATGATTATGTGCTGTGCCAATACATGGCCTGGCATTTCACAAAAGAGCTGAATGAGATAGGTGCCTGTATTTCTGACCTATTTTTCTCCAAATTCACTTGAACATCCACTTCAAAGTACAGAAGTACAAGTATCTGCATCATGGGTGACTTATGGGCATGAAACAGTCTTTTGTCTTCACCTGGCAGTCACTGGATGTGCCCTGTTTCAAGTTTGCTGAGACAATTTAGTTCCACTATGGGTAATTAAAAGATGGGGTTTGCCTTGTTAATTTGGGTATTTTAATGAGCACTGACACCTTTATGGTTTGAGATGCATCTTTATTCTAGGATTCTATAGAAGCATCATACTTCCTAGTATAGTAAAACAGAGTATTACTGCTTTAACTTCTCATGACAGTACTGAAGTAAGCTTTTTCTTACCACAGGATCTGTGCTCTGAAGAGTAGTTTGTAAAAACAGGAACTATGCCACATTTTAGTTCCTGTAGCAGCAAATATTTTTAGATACGTTGTAAGGATCCTGATCCCAATGAATTAAGTGAATGATTTTGATGGGAGCCACATCTGGGCTTTATATTGCACCAAAATGTCAAACAAAAGGATTAATATTTCTGAAATAATCCACTATTAAAAAATATGCAAAGAATAAATCATTGCTAATGCCCCAAGTCCCGGTTATTCCTAACAGAACCTAAGCTTTGAATGACAAAAATTGCTTTGGAAAATTTTACCAGTGATCTCTTTAATGCAGCCTTGGTTAGGACCAGTAGTCAAAATATTGACAAATGTTGCTGATAGCAGTCAGTGTGTTATGACTAATTCCCTTGGAATTTAAAAACACGTTGCAAAGGGGAAACAATGTTTCAAATAGTGGATAACAATGTTTCGCATAACAAGTAACAATGTTTTGAATAATGAGCAACAATGTTTCGATAGCATGTGACAATGTTTCAAATAATGTGTAACAATGTTTCCAATAGTGTGTGGCAATGTTTGGGCTAGCTCGTAACAATGTTTCAGATATCTCGCAACACTGTTTTGGATAATGCATAACAATGTTTCGAATAACAAATAACAATGTTTCAGATATCTCGCAACACTGTTTCGAATAACAAATAACAATGTTTTGAATAACAAATAACAATGTTTCGAATAACAAATAACAATGTTTTAGATAACAAATAACAATGTTTCTAATAGTGAATAAGTAACTAATGTTACAAAGTGGAAACTAATGGTTAAACTTACTGAAGTTACTTGTTTATAAATCTAAAAAGCTCATTCATCATTTAAAAACCTCTTCTGAAGAAGGAAAACCAGTCTCATGATGATGATAAGGAGTTGAAATTCAGTCCTCATGCCCTGCAGTCAGCTCATCCCTGGGAGGTACTGGTACTCTGAGCTCCTCTTCGTGGCTGTGTCTTCTCCAGAAAGCGTGAGCAGAGCTGCTCCCGCTGGGGTACCGCCAGCCCTGCGTGCATCCTTTGGCAGGGCTTGGCCCTGCTTGGCTTCGTTGTCTTTGCTCACATAGTCAGGTTATATCGGTGAAGGACGTATCACACTAAATAGATATTTCGGAGCCCATCATAGGAATGCATGAAGACCGACACAAGCTCTTTCTGCCCAGGTTGTGAGCTGGCTCCACACGAGGCACTGCAAACACAAACTGTGTATCTTAAATAGTTCATAGCGTGCTGAGCTAATAAGCCTTGCTGTGCAGCCGAGCGTACCGCCTTTTGCTATCACAGGGTACAGCTGGGCAGCTTGCAGGCTTAGCTGGGTCGTGCCTCTTGAGCTCAGAGCACAGGCAGAGGGGCTCCTGTTTGTCATCGTCCATCCATCCCAGCAATTGTTTGAAACGTGCCAGCATGCAGCGAACTGTGAGGGCATTGGAGAACTTGTGATGGATTATAACTTGTGTTATACCTCTCAGAAAACCATGAGAGCCTGTGTATGCATTTGCCAGATCTTCTCACACCACTTCTGTCTTATTAGCCTACTCTTGAGGTACTTGATACATCTTGATATACTTCTATCTCCATGTACTTACTAGTTGCATATACTTCTAAGTTAAAATTGTTCTCTCTGTTTTTCCTGGTACTTGGTAACGTGCTTTCAATGCCATTTAAAACAATCATTTTCTCATTTTGCTCTATTTCCTGTGGCTGAAGGCCTTTGATTTAATAAAGCTGGATTTTACAAAGGATTAATGCACAGTATAATAAGCTGGATCATATAGGAAAACAAGTGGGTTTTGAGGAGGAAGTGGGATTTGGTGAGGAGTGCCATTACCAATGAAATCAAGAAGAGTTTCCTAACTGTTGAATGGATGTTAAATTATTATATTCTGATAATGACTTTCAGAAAATTCATTATTAGAAAAAGCTGGATTTGCATGCTAAATGTCCAGACATTTCTTCTGAATCAAACATTACCTAAGTCTGTCCACATTCGTTGGAGTGCCTGAAATTGTAAAGCAGAAAAATGTGTCTTTAGAATTTGGAGCACTTTACAATCAAATAGACCAAGACAGCTCCAAGCTTGCATTGCTACTTCTCCCCTGTGGTTGGGGTTGGAGTGTAGTTCACTGTATTAGCATAACTATTTTGTATGTTTGAATATAATTAGTTTCAGTTGCACAGAGAGGTTTGATATTTGAATTTCTTTTTGCTCCTGTAGAGTGAAATATAAGTGTATTTCCAGAAGGCAGAGGGTCACTCATCAGGACTGGGCAATTCTTGTAGGCACTGTACAAGCTCTTAGGATGCATTTTCAAAGCCAGCTCATACCAACCCAGGACAGCACTGCCTCGGAAAGGGGCAAGTCTGTCTGCTTTGCTGGCTTCATCTCTCTGCCTCCTCCCTTTCATTCTGAGTTGGAGAAGGATGTAATTAATTTTAAAACTCCATTTGATTTTAAGTTGGATCAGCTTGAACTGGCCTTGAAGTCACTGGTGTCAACAAAGTGGAAATTGAACGAGATATGGTGGGGGTGAGGGGGACCCCTTGGCAGTATCATGGCCTTCCACCAGCTGAAGGCGGTTGTGGAGCTGCGCCGGGGGACCATTACGCACAGAGGCGTTCCAGGGAGCTGGCAGACGTGCCTGCAGTGGTGTTTTTAGTAAAGCTTAACTTTCTGCATTTTAATAGTATATAATTCTGGCCAGTGTGTCCACGTGTTAAGGATAATATATTGGAGTGCAGTCATAAGACAGCCTACGTTCTTCTTAGGATTTTGTTTTTTTAATTACACTGCCACCTGTAATAGCTAATATATTTGAGTCTTATTTGACATTTTCATAAAAGTGATACAAATTCATCCTAGTAGTTCTTCTTTATTTACAGTGTCTGGTTTTTTTTTTTTAATTACATTGCCACCTGTAATAACTAATATATTTGAGTCTTATTTGACATTCATCCCAGTAGTTCTTCTTTATTTACAGTGTCTGGTTTTTATGTGCTCCTGAAGCCAAATTTAAAAAGCCAGTTTCCTCTTTTATTTGCAGCGATTCTTCTGCTCCACTCTGCAGAGCTGCTTCATCCTCTCAAAGCACTGACACAATTTTGAGGAAGTGTGAGTTTCTGCTATTACCAGATGTCTCCTCTTTAAAATACCTGGTACTACACAGGTTTTTTTCCTTATCTTTAATGCTTCTTTAGGTTAAAAAAGCCCACTGAAATAATTTATATTTATAAATTTAATATTATTAGAGGCAACCAAGATGAGAAATGTTTGCAAGTAAAGGATTCCATGATAAGTAAAGGATTCCATGATAACTTCCTGTGCCAGTTCAAAGAGATTTTGGCTGGGGGATACCACAGGCTTCTTTACAAAGACCTCTGTGGGAATCCTGCCCTCCAAAAACCAAAAGAAAACACCAATTAGTGGCTTTTGTGTTTCCCCCTTGCTGCACTAACATTTTCCCACTTGCCTACCAGGTAGGCTGAAAGGTCTTCAAGGTGTGGTAACAGCTGAAAGAAGCACAGGATCCATATCCCACGTCCTGCATAGAGAAGTGTCTCAAGAGCATTCTCTTCAGTGTTCATTGCCTTACTAGATTTTGAGAAAGTTTGTAAGGGAGAAAGGGCTTGAAAAGCAGTTTTCTTGCTCAAAAGCTGTTAACTGAAATAAGGAATTGAATAGAAATACATTTCTGCACCCTTTACTTTTGAACTTTTTTTTTTTTTTTAAATAAATTTTGCAGTTTGTCATACTTGGATGCATACTTCAGACCAAAACCAGCCTTCCGTTCAGCTATTGTAGATCTCCCAGTTGCTTCTAGGGGAAATAAAAAAATCCACAAGTGATGGATAAGTGAGTGAATAAATGGTTTTAAAATATATGCTTTTAGCTCTCAGATATTTTTTTTAATTGATACTCCTGAGACACACAGAGCATAAGAATGCAGAGTCTCTTATTGAAGATTTTATTTCTGCTTAGAATCTGAGCTGCAGGGCAGAAGACCACCATGAGCTCTGTGCTAGCCAAGCTTTTAGCCATCTCCTTTCACAGCCTACCACATACACGGTGGGCCAGCTGAAGAAGGATTTCGGCTGAACCTGGCCATCAGGCAGTACATTGCTTGGTGTAGGTTAAAGCAAAAATACTCAGTTACGGTGGTCCCATGGAACCTTTCTGCAGTCTGTGAATAGGCAACGAATAGGCTCTCTCTTCTCCTGCCAAGCTGATCATTTACACCAGAGCTCCATGTATGTAAAATTAAATTGTTTAGAGAACTGTTGCCATTAGCACTGCAACCACAACTAATGTTGATGACTTGGGAGTACAAGCCATGCTCTTTTTTGTGTGTGTTTCACAAATTGTGCAAGCATTTTGAGTACCTTAATTTGGAAAAAGCAGGTCTTGAAATGGAATTTACAGACCTGTGATAGACCTGGTGATGAGAATAGAAGTCTTGAAAATGGAAAGGATGGGTATAAAGTCAAGCAAGAACACATTCATTGAGATTGGGAGATCATACATAAAATATGAGTAAGGTTGAATTAATAAGGTGGAATGAGTATACCAGTAAGGGCTTTTACAAGTAAAACAGGATGATTGTGATTATTTTAAAGAAAGTGTGTTACTTAATTTAGTATCTCCTGTAATACTGGCACTAATTGTTAAAATTAAAGACTGATCTAGTAGGTACTGTTAGTGTTTGGAAAAAATGAGGAAGTTCCAAATACAGAAATCAATACTTGAGAAATGCAGCCAGCTAAAGACACATTTGGGTTGTTATTCTCTAACCCAGAGTCCTCTGGCCTCTAGAAAGAGGAGTGCTGAGAAAATAGCTTTGCTGGACCCACTCTTTATGCTTTTACAAAAGTATAAAGCATATTTATTGCAATGTATAAAATGTCTTTGACATTCTGGATCAAATCTGTTTAGACTGAGTGCACAGAAGTAAAACCCACATTAGCAGCTTCATTTTCATATTTCCAGTGGAATTTAAATAATTCCTTTCCCTTTCAGAGATTTGTTGAGGGTTTTTTTGCTGAAGACCACAACATGTCTAAATATTTGTCTTTATTTGTTCGCAGCGGTGCAAGAAGCAATTACCATCAGTTGATTTATCAGAGTTCATTGTATTTTGAGTGCTGTTGAAGTCAGCAAGCTGTGCAGGTGGAACACATGGTGCTTGGAATATTTTCTCTGCTTTATATTACTGATAGGAGTTTGTGTGCTAAGTTCTATTTTTAATTATAGACTTAGCAGGAAAAAAGATGCCAGATTCACACTATTTATAAATATGTTTGTCAAAACATATGCTCAAGGAAACACAGGTTCTGTGGTTAGTCTTTGACCTTTAAGTTTTTCACTTGATGCTTGAAAGTTGGCAGTTTTTTGAAGTTGCTGTAAAAATTGTAAAAATAATTTGTTATATTGTGTTCTAATCGACCGCAATAATATTAGAACAGGTCAGGTAGTCCACACGGGCCCTGTAAGCCCCCATGCATTCCCATTTTAAATTCTAGGTGCCTGGTAAATTTTAGATTATTATTAAATATATAAGTACTGTGATACTGCAGCAATGAGTGGGTGCAGGCATGCAAACTTACGTGACGTTTGACTGTATCGCTAATCTGAAAGACTTGTCACATTTTTTCCAGCACACGACCACAATCGACGTATCTATGTTCAAGTTCCCCTTGGGCTAATAAACCCTGAGCTGGCTGCAAATATTGAGTGCCGGATTGATACTGCCCTTTGCAGTCAGATGGACGCTTTGGAGGAAAAAAGTGATCTCCGCGGTTTGCAGACAGAGAACAACATGGAACAACCGTTCAGTGTTAGCTCGCTGGTATGTATGGCAGAGAAATGCTGTGATGGCTTAGCACCCTCTCCTTCAGATAGGAAATGATTCAAGAGAACTGTTCAGTAGTGTTGGCTGTCAGCTACAAGGGTCTTTTCCTGCATCTTGCCAGTTCCTCGCACGATCTGCCTGATGGTTTTGTTGGAATTTATTTTATTTCTATATATGTGGTTTATGGGGTTTTAGCTTCTTTCGGCAATCATGTTTTTAAGAAGTTGAAGTGAACGTTTTGAATAGAAAGAGAAAAAATTTTCATCAAAGTAAGAGGAAACAACTTGCAGCAGCCATGTATTTAGCCACTTAACAGGAGGATAGTGATTATAATAAGCAGCTGTGCTGCTTCTTCCGTAGAGTTCTAAGTTCTTAGGCTTTAACTGCCTCGTTTGAAACTGGAAATGAGCATTTGAAGTGAACTGTTCACTGACCAGGGAAACTCACTGCTGGTAGCTGAGCTATACCCAGTAGTCATACCCTACACATCATGTACAGGAGTCTGAGTATTCAGAGGCTCCACCAAATGATTTCAACAACTTAAGGCAGAACCTTACAGAATTTCATGTGTAGGGGATTCTAAAGAGGACACACTTAGTGTTGCCTTTGGTAATTTCTACAGGGGTTTACATCATTTTATCTTTTTTTTTTTTTTTTTCCTGGGATGTTTTTGTATTTGGAAGGTTCGGGGAGGAGGAGAAGATCACTTCTTATTTGTAATTGCAATCACAATTTATTTGCAATTAAGAAACATGTTAGAATGCCTCAACTGTGGCTAGCGGTGGGGAAACCAGTGCCTATTTCGAGAAAAAGACTGAAGATTTCCCTTGAGTTTCTTGAATGTGTTCACTTACTGAAACGTAATACCTGGTTCTCTTGCTAAACTCTCTGTTCTTTTTCAGAAAAAGCTCGTAGCTATTCCTGACCACACAGACATCTCTGTGACCCCAGAAGAGAGAGTACGTGCCTTAAGCAAACTTGGCAGCAATATCACAATCAATGAAGATATCACTCCGCGTCGTTACTTTAGATCTGGAGTAGAGATGGAGCGAATGGCATCAGTATATATGGAGGAGGGAAACCTGGAGAATGCTTTTGTTTTTTATAATAAGTTCATAACGTAAGAAACTATTTGTAGTCATTACAGCTTATATTGCCAAGTAAACCAAAATGAAAAGTTGCAGGGAAAACAGGGCACCCCTTTAGATTAGGAGAGAAATGTTCAGTGTGTTCTTGCAGAATAGCTTTGTTCTTCGGAGGTCTTTAACAACAGGCTTTGTTAAAATTTCAGCTCGGCTGTTAGTATAAGAGTCCTACCCATCTATTAACTGCCAGGCGTGAACTAACCTCATATACAGAGGTTTAAGTTTACTGTACCAGGCTATACTCTGAGCGCTGTTTCCCACAGATTATTCTCTATCTATCAGTATGTTGTTTAAATACAGTGTGTGGCTTAAAAAGCAATGTTTAGATAAGATTTCTGAGCCTGTAATAGTTACACCCTATGAGCTTCTACCGATCTTAAAGGTGGCAGTATTGCACAGAACTTAAAAAACATGAAAAAATGGCTTTTTGCCTCTTTTAACTTTTCTTCCCCAAAAGGATTAAGTATATTTTATTGCTTCTTACAGGACTAAATGCAAAATCCACAATATATGTTCATTGTATGATTATTCTCCCCACCCAAAAACCCAAATCCAGACAACTTTCATTACAACTCTCAAAATAGCCAGCTGAAAAATACATCAGTGGCTGATTCAAACTTTTTAATTACCTAGTTTTTCTGTAGGACTGATTGGTTTGTTTTCTTGCTTGTGAAAGGTTTGGGGTTTTTTACATGCATATTTTAAATTTTTATAAAAGGAGACCTCCTTTCCCACCCCCACCCCCTTATTTGCCTCATACTCTGAAAACCAGAACAAATCTTTCTTACTCCACTTAAATTTAAAGGTATGCATCTCTATAAAAAGAGGATCTGGAGGTGAACATTGCACAAATTGCTGGAAGAATGAGACCAGCTGTGTATTCCAAACTCCTTGCAGCTGAGTGTTACCATAATTTAGATGTCTGGGTAGGTTAATAACACTGCAGTTAGCTGTGCAGCTTGGTCTGGTAAAAATAACTGCTTTAATGTTAGTCAGTGCTGCCTTCTGCACTTCCCATTTACGATTCAGCATTTCAGCTAAGGACAGATAAAGACAGAAGAAATAGGATTTATTAACACTGGCTAAGGTGAAGGGCACTTTGGAGGGCTATTTTTAGGTGCTGGCTGCTAGTCAGTCTTTTTTTTTTTAACCCAACCCAACTACTAATGAATACCAAAATGTATTCACATGTAGAAAATAATGTCCTGTCATTACTGTCTGTGTCCTATACAAATCTGTACAAGAATGTAAGTGTTATTTTAAACAAATGAATGTGTAGAAACCTGCTGCAAGTCACCTGGAATTCAGTGTTCAAGAGTTATCTGAAACTGATTTTTCTGCCAACGTGAAAGCTATTGTGGATATTCCTCTGGCTACGGGGGTGAACACATGCTTGTTTCATTTTCTAGGTTGTTTGTAGAAAAGCTGCCCAGTCACCGAGACTATCACCAATGTGCAGTACCAGAAAAACAAGATATTATTAAGGTAGGGTTATGGTTTCCTGGTCTTTAAGAAATGTTTCCACCAGAATCTGCCCACTTGCCCAGCACCCCGTTTCCCTCAGCGCACACGTGGCCCACGGCAGCCACCGCAGCTTGAATTTCTGATACCTTTCTCACTAGTCATTCATGTTTTATTTCGGTTTAATCACTTGACCATTACTGGAAATGAAATTATCATTCTAAAAACTAAACAAGGACAGTCTCTGAGTAAGTTGGTAGGTTGTTTGAAACCCAGGTGCATCTATTTCTGAAAGTTTACATACTAAGAATACACTAATTTAACAGTACTTAGGGTTTGATTCTGGTCCCAGTTATGTGGGTGGCTAATGGTCCAAACTGACTATTGCAAACAGAGGGAAAGGGAGATGTGTGGCATTGCTGGTGTCTGTGCAGGATTTGTTTGCCCTGCTAAATAATCAAAGTATATTTTTGCTTTCTTTATTATCAAATATATATTTACTTAGTTTTTTACCAGATTTTTTTTCTCCACTTGTATATACAAGTTTAACTTTTTTTTTCCTTTTTATTTTATTTTTTTTTCTCCCTAAAAGAGATTTCAATTACAGCCTTATACTGAACTTAAAACGACTGGAATTGCCCCATGAGTAGCATAAGTGCCTCATTTGCTTTGTGCTGCCATATTCGCTTGCTTTCTCTACTATTAAAGCTGAATAATGTCATATTCAAGGCCAAAAATGCTTCATGCCAAATTTTGACTGTGGCCCACCATCTAAGGAATCATCCCTGTTGAGAAAGGGCATCTAACGTGCTCCCTCCTGTGGCACTCGGTGGGATTAAGCACATGGTCTCTCTCCCTTGCCTGCAGCCTCTGAATTACTTTGCAGCAGCCCCTGCACCAGTAGAAGGCGTTGGGCATTGGGTTTGTTTTACAAAACAAAATTGTTTTGCCTGCCAGGGCTATCACAGGAAACTACATGTGTAGCTATCACTGCAAACAAACTATTTTATTTTATTTCCGACCTAGAAATGGGCATACGCAGTCAGATTTCTGTCCAGGGAGTCCCAGAGAAAAATGTGATGATCCTACCTGAAACACTGAAAGTTTGACTTAGCTTTTTTATAAATTACACCTACGTCAAAAATGTTAGTCATCCCACACCTATTAAACAAACCAGAGATAACGGATCGCTACAAAAAGGACTGATCTTTCCTTGAGATAAGTAGTCATGTCACAGCTTTCACTGATACAAATTAATACAGCTTTACTGAAAGCAGCGTACTACGGAATTTTCACAAGCTGATGATTTAGTGTGTATTTCTTCCTTTCTTTCCTGGGAGAAGAGCAGCTTTTTTTTATTATTATTATTTTGTATTTTTGAAATCTGTATTACAGCTGAGTTTATTTGCCACGTGGTTATTTTAAAAAATTAAAAATAAACTGATTTATCTCTCCCTCTCCCCCTGCCAAAGAAATTGAAAGAGGTTGCATTTCCACGGACAGATGAATTGAAGAGAGATCTTCTAAAAAAATACAACTTAGAATATCAAGAATACATGCAAAAGAAAGTAAGTTTTAGATAGTTATTAAATCTTTGATATGAATGTTTTTTCTGTTATATAAATCTTCTTAAAAATTAAGCAGTAAAATGCCAGTTCTACAAGAACATAATAATTTCACAGGCTGCTTAGGATGACTTTTCGCTTTTCAGAATCTAATCGGTTGGTCATTTGAAAGCAAGTAATGCAAGTGTGTGCTTGGAAATAAATGTGCTCTGATGTTTACATAAGTCTATGAACATCTGAATAGGTCTTGGGCACACTCTGATTTTGTTTTATAAAGGGGATACTCTTGATACACTTACATGAGTATGTGGAAAGGGTCCCTTGGCTCTGCATGTGCTCAAGTTTGAATTGACCTTCTTTGAGTCCTTAAGTAACCATAAATACTTTCATCGGGTGTATTAGAGTTCACTCAAAACAGGACCTGTAGTTTTAAAAACTTGTCTTGGAAAGAGAATCTGAGAAAAACCACCTTTTCCTTCCTTCCCTTGAAATGGACCCAGAGAATTAAAAAGAAAAAAAACCAAACAACCCAACCCCTGCAGCCCATATTCCTGTCACCGGTTGGTTTGAGGCTTTCTTCCCTGCTCTGATTTTGTTCATGACATTTAAGAAATTACTTTGCCCTGTTTTTTTCATTTGCTTCTGGAGATGCTTGAATGCTTTCCTTCACCAGGGAGCAGGAAGGGCTGATGAAACCCAAAGCTCCCCTTGCAGTTCATGGAACAGGAGGTGGCTCGGGGCAAGGGGGTATAGACCCCATGGGGAAGGCACCTAACATGCCTGAGGCTGGGGAGGCTGGCACCAAAGCCAGGCTGAGCAACCCAGGGAAGCTGAGGAAAGAAAGTAGCAGGAGAAAGTCAACAAACCCATCCAAACAGCAGCGACAAGCAAGAAAACCAGATCACAAAATTGATTATGAGATCTACCCAGAAAACCCGTGTGCTCATGGATCTCTTTTTTCCTTGGAAATTGTAAGGGCTTGTATCTAGTCTCCTCACCACCAGTACTCTGAGAAGTCTTTTTTTTTTTAATTACTCTGTTGTAACGGGTAAATGCGGCAAGTGCTAGCACTACTGAAGTAAGAACACCAAGTACCACAGGTACGCAGATAGGAAGCTTTGTGTTAGGAGTTCATTACTTACTGTATTTCCGTCCATATCATGACACTTCTGGGGATATAGTTTTACTTGCCAGTTCAGCAAACAGGTTCCAAAAGACTTAAGTTTTAATGGCAGAATTTGATGGTTTTATTAAACAATTAGTTTGCTTCTTTCCCTTCATTTTTGTAGCTTTTTTTAGTGTTCTGAGAATGTCACTATTTTACGTATGTTTCAGAACAAATGTAAAACTGAATTTCTGAAGAAACTAGAGCATCAAAAGCTAATAGAGGCAGAGAAGAAACGAATTGCACATATGCGGCAACAGCAGCTTGAATCGGAACAGTTTCAATTCTTTGAGGATCAGCTTAAGAAGCAAGAGCTAGCTCGAGATCAAAAAATCAAAGAGAGTGTGGTTATGTCTGAGCAGATAGATGGAAGTATGCTATCTTGTATTTCTGTACCAGAAAACAGTTCCTTATCTACTGCGCTGCTTGAGAAAAAAGAGAGGAGCGGCACATCTGGCTGCGCTGGACAGTCACCTCCAGTAAGCCGGGTCTTAAAGCCAGCAGCTACTTTAAGCGCAGTTCAGAGTAAGTGCAGATTTTTTTTTTGTTTGTTTGTTTTACTTTTTTATATTATCTGCTTCTTTGCTGCTTATAGTAGTCCACATATTACATATGCATATGTATTTATTTACCATGAGGATGTGCATAGTGCAATGGTTAATGTACACACAACAATCCCATATAGTTTCTTCATTTTAAGAGCAGAGATTAGTTGCACAGTTTCACATTTTCCAGTTGAGTACCAACAGACAGAGCTAGAGATTGAGCCTTAGTGTTTCTGTGGAATGAAGTCTGAATCTTGCTGTGGACTTCAAGGGAACAGAAGCAGAACCTGTGGTGGTTCACCCTGGAAAGCCCTGGACTGGGAATTGGTATCGGCTCCCTGTCACCTCCCAGGCAGGTTAATGAGCACATCCCATGGACTGGTGACCTCAATTTAGGGTGAAGTGCTTGTGCTGTAGATTTATTCTCATTAGAAATCTGTGATGTGGTAAGTAGAATTCTTTCACTTTTAATAATTTCCTGTAACTGTGTGTATTTCCTTATTTTAGGAAACTTCACTGCATAAGCTGCAAATGCCTCTCTTTTTTTGTTAGCTCAATTGGCCGAAGCACTCAGAGGCGTCATTTTGCCCAGGGATCTGTGTCACAAATTTCTGCTGCTAGCAGAGGCAAATACAGTAAGAGGAATAGAGACCTGTGGAATTCTCTGTGGAAAACTGGTACAGTTTAACCCTCACGTTTGTATGGGGAAAAGCTTCTTTGACAGTGCTGTATTTTCCTGTAATGCATCGATTTCAGAACAAAAGCTAATATAAATGATTAGTCTTTAATGTAATTAACTTCATATTATAACCTGAGTGGTCACTTCAGCAGTGTGGGCTTGCCTTATTGGGGAAACATTTGATCGAAGTTACTCTGCTCTCATTATAAAACGTGGCAAGTTTTTCAGCATGCTGTATGCTACAGGTTTTTTTGAGTACTTTCTCTGGCATTCATCTAAGGTAAGTGAGGTTTAGTTACAGGACAATGAAATATAAAGACTTAGAATCTACTGGAGTAATCAAATTCATAATGGCGCAACAAAAAAGAAGAAAATCCCCCTATCAAGCTGTAGAACATCTGATTTTCAGGCCAGTTTTTTCCTTTGACGTAGATAATACTTAATGTCCTTTCAGAGCAGGGAATGATGTGGCTGCTGCTGGTACACAAAGAAATTTAAAGGTGATGTCCAAGCGTACTTGAACTGTATAAAGAGAAAGAACAGCAAGAGTAGTGATGTTCCAAGTTTCACAGAACATACTTACAGTATTCTGAAACCTCTTTTTATCATGTCTGTAATTTTTTTAAAGGACATCATTTTCACACTTGTCTCTGCAAGCATTTCAATCCAACAATCTCGTGTTGTTACTAATACTTCCCTATATGATTTCATCCTAAAAGCTAAGGCGTGTTCTCTGGTGCAGTAAGTCAGGGTAGCCACGCTGGAATCAACGGAGTGATACTGCTTGGGTTTAGCCGATAGGCTGCCACCTTTCAGATTCTGATTTAGCACTTATTAGTCCATTTGTTCCGCTCTAAGTCAGTGTTTGTTTTATAGACACATAATGAATTTACTATTACCCATGTAATAGTGCCAAAGCAATCTGCAGGACCAGACTACTGCGACATGGAGAATGTGGAAGAATTATTTGGTATTCAGGATCAGTATGATCTCCTCACTTTGGGTTGGATCCACGTACGTATGACTCACCAATTCTGGATTTTCGATATCAGCTCTGCATACTGTGTGAAAGAAACCCTGCAAATAACAAACTAAAGAAATAACTGGAATAATCCAAATTAATTTGCTCACTTAAATCTAATTGTAGTGATGTAAATGAGCACTAATATTCTCCACAGATGATTATTTGTTAATGAAGTTGAGGCATCCTGTTGACACAATGGCTCTGCTTTTGCCAGTGCAACTGTTGTTTATGTTGATTTAGGGGTATTTTATTACTTTCTAATGCCATCTATTTTTATACTGTTTTCAGAAGGGGGGCGGGGAGGGCAGAGGATTGTGTTGTTTAAACTTTATATTCATTTTGATTTTAGGGGGTTTGCCCAATCAAGTCCTTTCCCTTTGTCTTGTGCTTCTTCATTCCACTTCTTCCCCCCCATGATCAGAAAATTGCTTGTACATCTGGTTGTGAATGTGCCTCCATAAACCTCATACTGAAAAGCCACCCTAACAACGTAGAATCTGGGTTAATAGGAACTTAAGAAACCGACCTGGGAAAGTACTGACGCTTTCAGTTATAAATTATTGTTCCTCCTTGAATGTATGTCGACCTTGATTTGTAAGAAATATTTCATGATGTTGAGTTTTCCCTTTCTTTTTGTAGACACATCCAACACAAACTGCATTCTTATCCAGTGTTGATCTTCATACTCATTGTTCTTATCAGCTAATGTTGCCAGAGGCCATTGCAATTGTTTGTTCACCAAAGCATAATGAGTGAGTTCTGATTTTTCTAAGTAATATTGAGATATTTTCCCCTGCTCCTTATCTTAAAATTTGATCAAATATAAACAGCACGTGTCAACTGGGATGAAGTGCAGGAATATTGTATTGTGAGTTTGTTTTCTTTAAGTTGTTTAGAGTTACATTCCAGTCAGTCTATATGCACAAGATTGTTTCTGGCTTCTCTCTCCTCCTTCCTCCCAGCCCCATGTTTTAAATTTTATTTATTTTTATATTCTGCTCAGCCAAGTAGTAATGACAGGAGCTGTTTTTCTGGAGATCTCATTGCCAGTGCCCTGCCACAGACCGATCTTCATTCTGTCTGATGAAGGAAGCAGAGGGCTTAGGTGTATTTCTCTAGGATGATATGAAAATTGCAGTTTGGGGAGTAGAGGAATAAAGATCACTTTTTGGATAATAAGGCCCTAATTTTGTATTTCATAAAATACAAGCAGTAAGTATCTGGAAACACCTGGAATTGTCTAAGTATTAATGTGAAGGTTTATAATGGAACAGGTTGCCCAGAGAGGGTGTGAAGTCTACATCCTTGGAGATATTCAAAACCTGACTGGACATGGTTCTGGGCAACCTGCTCAAGGTGACTTTGCTGGAGCAGGGGGGTTGGACTAGACAGTCTTCAGAGGTTCCTTCCAACCTCAATTTTGTGACTGTCCTGAGGTGGGCTTGGAGTTCCATGGCCCCAGGGCTAACTCCATTGTTTAGCCTGTGCATTCCTTCAGCCTTTCTTTCTGGCTGCCTGCCCCTTTAGATGACTTCTATGAATCCCATTCTTGTTGCCTAACTTCCTATATGGGCCATTCAGGTAGCAGAGCTGTAAATACAGATTGCAAGGCAAGTGCACAAGCATTAGGCTTTGTAACCCAGAGCACAAATGTCCCTATACCTTTCCAAATCTCTGGTCTTGCAAACTTCTTTCACAGTTGATGCTAATACCCTGTAACACACTCTAACCTGTTACTCCTATCTGTACCGTTTATTAATCAGGGGCTATCCTGTAGTTATCAGGTATTAATGTTCTTTACAGAAGGGTGAGTTAAGTAACTTTTTGTTTAATACTCAAAGTATTAGGTCATACATATGCAACAGTGCATTTTCTCATGCTTTTTATGACCTGATTGCCTAAAAGAGTGGGGAGGATGTGTACTCTCGCTAGTCCTTTACATGGCTGGCTTAAAGGCTATTCTCTTTTAAGTTGTTCTTCTAGAGTTCAGTGAGTGAAATGCATTCCAGACCACCTAAATTTCTGCTTTGTATCTGTTCCTGTATGAACTGGCCTTGGCCCCTAGTAGGCCAACCTGCCTAATGGGAATAGCAACAGTACTGTGGGTTTTCTCCCCTTCCCCTCATCATCTCTTTCTTTACAGGAATACAGCTCCCCTTGATTTCAAATATCTTTAAGAATCCAACCCAGCCTTAGCTTCAGTGCATCAAAGGTTACTGAGTACCATCCTGTTGTTCTTCTGTTAAGCTAAGAAATTTGTATATGAAACCTTGGATTTGTGTTATGGGGGCAGCACATGACAGTAGTTTCATCTTTTGCTTTCCAGCACTGGCATCTTCAGACTTACTAATGCTGGCATGCTAGAAGTTTCTGCTTGTAAAAAGAAGGGATTCCATCCACATACAAAGGAGCCTAGGTTATTTAATGTAAGTATATAATCCAACATGGTTTTGAACATTCAAATTCTTGCCCATGGTTCTGCTGTAAGCAGAAATGATATGTGTTTCAGATTAGGTTTCTTTATACTCCCCTCCCCCCCATTTTAATAATTCATTACCCTTACTTCACTGACCAAGGTAGACATCAGAAATCTACTTAAGCAGTCAATAGCAGCCATGAAATGTGTTACAGGCTGCCATTCAAATGGTGGCTAACCAGAGGCAGTTACCATCGGTCACCACTTACCTGCTTTCAGAAGCAAAACCTACAGTTTCAAGTGGGAGTTGTTCCTGAGCTCTTCAGTTTTTAAACAAAGCATTCAGCTAATCTCCCCAGCTGTGGTGTCCCAACAGAACATCCCAGCTGCTAAAAAGTGCAGATGTGAGTAGATTAGGCCCCATTTCCTTCATTGCCCATAATTTTCCCCTGACTTTTCGCAAGCCTTTCTCAGTGACTACCCTAACTTTTGATGTCTTAATAGCATAGTATGCTATATGTATGGCTGAACAGTATAGTCAGTCAGAATTATCAGAATGTCACTGTTGTCTGGAAGACGACAATCTTTACCTTTGAATAATTAAGATTTTTTAAAATGGGGCTCATGTCAAATACAGAGCATCTCATATAACTCAAAATAAAATTACTGAATGCAGAGAAGTAATACGGAAAGACACTGGAATTTACTACTTTGTTGTAGGACTCTCAGAATGTCAGTATTATTGCTCAAAAGAAGGAGAGGTTGGGTTTCTTTTGTTTTGTTCTTTTATCATTGACTCTAGGGATAATGAGAAGGTAGTCTAACTGAAAAATTTTAGGACTTTTGTTCCAGATAGGCTCTTTTCAGTGGTCCTTTACAGACTTAGTTCATGAATGAAGTTGTTACTGGCCATATGAGCTCAGTTATAATCATTAGACCCACTGCTGGTATCACATATCAAACCCAGATGTCCTTTCAAGTACAATCCCCAAAACACATTGATCTTCCAACAGAAATGGTAAGATCACAGCCTCATTTCCTGGAGGAAAAATATCAGGGGTGATGGTACAGGAAGCTTCGTGGAGCATGATTGGAACAATCCTAATCTGCATCTGTCTGATTGCTGTAAAAGCTCTTCTCCACAGGCCCAAATCAAGCTGTTACTTAGTGGCTAAAGGAACAGTGTAGTCCTAAATGCTTTAAAAATCCATCATGTGGGCAGATGCATCTGCAACTACTGGAGGAAGAGAAGGAGGCCAGGCTTCCCTTACTCTGTCCCCCACGCACCCGTCCTAATGCAGCACCCAACACCTTCGCCCTCCATCTCAGGTATCCCGTGCTGTGGTACATAAAGGATAGCACAGAACTATCGTCTCTTTCACAGGCCAAGCACTGAGCAATATCCACTTTAGAAATAGTATTTCTGGTTGTATGGTGTAGTCTATACCTATGGCGGTCAGGTGTGCCTGTGGACAGGCACAAGGATAAGTACAGTCAAAGTTAGATAGGTGTAGTATTAAGCAGGCTCAGAAAATTAAAAGGAAACACCAGCCCTCATATGCTATTTTACTGAAACTGATTTCTGTGAGTAACGGGTTGACTTCTTCTGCAGCCGTGTACCCATGTGGTCGGGAAAGACATAAAGATAATTGTGCTGGATCTGAGGTGATAGAGACGGAGGATAGAGATGTTACTACTCAAATGGCCAAAACAGAAAAATGGATTCCAGTTTTTCCTACATTTTCAGAAATTACTTTTATATTTATACATTTTAGATTGAATGGTTTGATATTTATTGCTCTAGCCTGTTTTGGAGTTATTTTGTTGCTCTGTCAAGATGGAGTTCAGTGGCATTACCCCTGAATCTGTAAACAAATCTCACCTATAAAACACAACAATAAAATGAACTTCAAACAACAGCAACTGTGTTGAAACAAGTAATGATTCTTTTGTCACTTGTTGGCATCAATTGCTTTCTGAAAATTAGAGATTTTTAACAGTGATTGCTTTTTGTGAGTTCCATTTACATTATAAGTAGTAGAGTCAAATACATCAGTTTGGGTGATTTTTTTTAAGTCTTTTTCCCCATTCCATCATCGTATAGCTCAAGTTTCAGCTCAGTTATTAGGCAGAAAACACTTACGAAAATACAAGTCAAGTCCTTTACCCGAGAGCTGACCCTCATCACATCTTGGCATAGCAGAGATGCATCAGGGTCCCTTGGAGAAATGTGTCTTCTCCAGCAACCCTCTAGTAGAAATTTTTATTTGAATCAAGTTCTTATCCTGAAAGGGATTCCCTGGACCTGTCTAGAGTTAGATAAAAAGATCTAGATAGAGTTAGAAGGAAGAACCATACAAAGTTATTTGCTCTAACAAGAGTTTTATTTAGTATCTGTTCCAAGAACCTAGGTGACCTATACTTTAAATAATAAGGTTAGTACAATAAAGTTTGGAACGTGTGCTAACGGTCAGAAGCTGGACAAGATCTGGCACCCAGGGGTTACGCAGACATGGTAAATAACAGGTGCTGTGGCAAAGAGCTTACAGTTTGAAAGATAACGAGTAACAGGCATGTGAGGTAAACTACTGAGTTTAGACAGGAAACTAAGTAACAAAAATAAATAGCATCCTTTATCCTGGACTGTAATGCACAGATTGCAGCAAGTTCCTTAGAACTGACCTTTCCCAGGTCTGTCTCAGTGAATTCTTTATTCATATATATACTTTTAAGATAGTATTACTGGCTTCAGCTTCTATGCATATACTTCTAGTTGAATACCAGTTGTCTAAATTATTGTATCTAATCTAATCTACTTTGATTACATTAACACTCCCCCCCCCCCCAAAAAAAAACAGTTCTGAAGAAAAAGTGTATTAAGCCAGCTTAATTACCCTTTAGACCTTGCCAGAAATTGCAACATAAAAATGATAGGCTGCACTCATCCTAGGGCATATGATAGGAAAGTCATGTGTTCAGTCTAATATTAGTGTTTAGCTATGCTCCCAAAGGAACAGGTCTCATTTCTTTAAAGAAAACACACGGAACTGTTGTGGTACACATGGTACACCTCTGGGACACACGGGGTAAAGAATTAGCTTTTCCAGCATGACGGCTGTGAATTAAGAACTGATGGGGAAAGATAATATTCCTGGATAGAGCAGAGACAAAGCAGAGTGCCCGTGCTCATCCTGATACCGAAGAGATGCTATGCTCCTTTGTGCCACCCAGGACTTCGGCAAAATCAAGATCGTTTCTGTTTGCAGACTAAAATGCCTACCGAGGCTAAACTTGGACAAGGTGCAGCCTGATGGCTGAGCATTTTCTAGCACTGGTATCACTGAGCACAAGGTGCCACTTTTTCTATTAAGCCCGGTATAGTGTAGTAACAAATTCATGTCACAAGATGGAGCTTCAAACCAGCTGTAATGGTACCACCACAAATGTGTGGGGTTGGTTGGGTTGTTTGGTTTTGTTTTTTTTTAAATAGCAGCAGCAATTTCATCGCATATTTAAAATTTATTCCAAAAAAATACATAGTATCCGATTAATTAGGGTCATTACGATGAAGGACTTATGGAATGAAATTACAAGAATGTATTTTCCTGAATACATTCACAGTAATACACTAAGGAGACATATAAAGATCAAGCAATTTAAAAGCATTTGCGGTGAACAATGGATGGGCCAGCTTCATCATATTCCTGTTTGCTGATCCACATCTGCTGGAAAGTAGAGAGGGAGGCAAGAATAGAGCCTCCAATCCAGACGGAATACTTACGTTCAGGAGGAGCAATGATCTGTTTAAGAAATAAAAGCATTAAGTACAACAGTCCACTGTGAATAAAATACATTTGCTATACAACACTATTAAAGCAGTGACTTTTGATATTAACAAAAACACTGTATCTGTGTGCTAGTGTCACCCCTGGCGCTACAGTTAGCCATTGCTGCAAAGAGCGAAGTAAAAAAGTTGTTATTTAAGTAAGTCTGAGTCTACATGCTCAGTTTCTCTGCCAGAGTCAGTCTGCCCAGTAAGAGCAGTGCCTCTGTGTATTTATGACCACATATGAGAAAAGGGGAGATGATTGCTCTGGAAACAAAATGATAGCCCAGGAGGGCTTGGAAAAATGAATGACCTATGGAGCACTCTTATTGGTATAGGTGATAAAATGATTGCAAAGCAAGGACCAGAAGATTTGAAGCAGCAGGAGGAAGATTGGCTTGTCAGAGACTCCTTCTTTTCTGAACTTGTAGGCCAAGGACAAAACCAGCATTTCCTCTCTCCCATCTCCATCAGCCAAAAAGGGCTGAAGAAGCTCACATATAGCCCCAGAGGAAAATGTATGCTGCTGGGTCCATGCTATTATTCTTTGGCCGTGTTGGGGCAGTTTGCAGAATTCACCATGAACAGGGAAATGAGAGGGCTCTCTTCTTCCAGCAACAAAGTTACCAGGTGATGATTATTTGCCAGAAGGTACAGACACAATTCAAAATAATGTACAAAGCACTTAGTTTGTAAAGTGTTGCCATGTTTCATTAGATTTTTGAGGACTTTGTACATGCCAAATCAAATAGTCTACAAGTAATTTCATCATACCTTGATCTTCATAGTGCTGGGAGCCAGAGCAGTTATTTCCTTCTGCATCCTGTCTGCAATACCCGGGTACATTGTAGTGCCTCCAGACAGCACGTTGTTGGCATAAAGATCCTTTCTGATGTCTATATCGCACTTCATGATGCTGTTGTAAGTGGTTTCATGAATGCCAGCAGACTCCATGCCTGGAGAAGTTACAGAACACTGAAGAACCAACTCCATACAGAGACTTAAAATTGTTAACACAGAACTGACAACATGAACTTCAGTGTCTCTTTGAAAGACATCAGTCTTCAGAGCTGTGGAAATCTGGGAAGTCATTCTGCAGCTGCCTAAATTATTTGCTTAGGAGTTCCTTGGTGTACAGCTCCCCTCTCCTGCTTACGCACACAACTCCTCCTTAAAAAGAAAGCTGGGGGTGTGGAATTGTAAAGTTTCCACTAGGCCTTTGCAGGCAAGCTCAAATGTCCTAAGAATTCCTTATATGGCCTTGGAATCATGTGTTTTCTTCTTTTCCTTTTTTTCTTCTTCTTTTTTTTTTTTTTTTAAATTGAGCCAGCTTAGAAACAGAACAGTCAAAATATGTCCTAATATCTCCAAGAATGCAACTACTTCATCTATTTCTGAGCTGAAATTCTGCCGATTGGCAGAACCAACACTGGATTTCTGTGTGACCTTGTTGCAAGTCAGCTGTCATGGCTGTTGATTAGCATGCATTGTGTTGGCTTTCCTCTGCAAAGGTGATGACCCATGGATTCAGGATTTGAAGCAGTCTTTTTGAAAAATAAAAGTAGTGCTTCCCCCCCACACCACCTCCCTGCAAGCACATTCGAACTACAACCCTCACACTATGGCAAGTGGCTTTGCAGCCTTACTTCTCGTAGTAGCCAACTGCACAATATACAAAATGGAATGGGGCCAATGCCAGAAGCCAGGAATAAACGTACAGGGTTTATTCTGGGAACGCATTTTGCCTTATTGTTTGACGTGAAGTTCTTCCCACCATATTAATAGTGCTGTTGTAAAAGACTGTTATACAAGGGGTGCTAGGACGTACCCCTGTATACACCTAAGTGAGTTAGCAATGGGACACAATCAAAAGAAAACAGGAACTTGATGTTTATGTGCTGTGTACCAAGGCAGAACAATCATTCAGCCTACCAATGAATGATGGCTGGAAGAGGGTCTCTGGGCAGCGGAAGCGTTCATTTCCAATGGTGATCACCTGACCGTCAGGAAGCTCGTAGCTTTTTTCCAGAGAGGAGGAAGAGGCAGCAGTGGCCATCTCATTTTCAAAGTCCAGGGCCACATAACACAGCTTCTCCTTGATGTCACGGACAATTTCACGCTCCGCTGTCAAGAGGATTCAATCTTTAGAATGGCATTCAGGAAGGACCCAGACATGTTGACAGGCTCTTCCCTTTCATTCTCCAACACCCCCCTTCCCCCCTCCCCCCATTTTTTAAACAAATCCTCTGCTAGTCTTGCAGGGGGCTTTCCTGTTGGATTCCTTCTTGTGTCTAATCAATGACAGAACCACTTCTGGTCCTTCTAAGGCTGCTAGAAACATTGTGCATTAAAAGAACTCCTCCTCTGTCAGCAGCGTGTCCTTACCAGTGGTCACAAAGGAGTAGCCACGCTCTGTCAGGATTTTCATGAGGTAGTCTGTCAGGTCACGGCCAGCCAGGTCCAACCGCATGATGGCGTGCGGCAAGGCGTAGCCTTCGTAAATTGGCACATTGTGGGTGACACCATCCCCGGAGTCAAGCACAATCCCTTCGAGAAGATAACACACGATTTATTCCCAGGTGCACATCCACACACCTAACCATTCCAAATGTCCATGCCATGTTCCCCAGAGTCCTACCTGTGGTACGTCCAGAAGCATAGAGGGACAGTACAGCTTGAATAGCTACATACATGGCTGGCACATTGAAAGTCTCGAACATAATCTGAAATGCAATTAAAATAATTGCCTTAACACTAGGGGCTTTAGCTTAGTTGAAGCAATATATTGAAAGAGAGGGAGAAGACAAGTTTTTCATATTTCTTGATGGTTGGTAATAACAAGGAAGGAAAACACAAACTCTAAATCCAAAAATATTTGTCCTATGAGCCATCTCCCTGTACCTGGCCTATATCTTTAAGATATGAATATAGACACATGCACATATCAAAAATAGTTTTGAATAGACCTGGGCATAAAACCAGCTTAAGATGACATAAAGCTTGGGCAGACTGAAGTACTCACATTCAGAGCGGATACACCAACTTTCTAAAGTAAATGTCTTAATATGCAAATATGACAGGCAGTCACTATGCACTTTCCATCTTCCATAAATAAGAGAGAGACTGCTGGACAGCATGATTAACTGAAATGATGAAGTTC